AATACCTTGAGAAGAACAACAATGATGACACAACTCTCCAAAACTTATGGGACACATTAAAAGCAGCTGTAAGAAGAAAATATATAGCAATACAGGCTCACATAAAGAAACAAGAAATACCTCAAAGAAACAACCTAATGTCCCACCTTAAAGAATTGGAAAAAGAACAACAAAATAACCCAAAAGCCAGTAGAAGACAGAAGATAATAAAAGTCAAATCAGAAATAAATGAAATGGAAGTTAGGAAAACAATCCCCCCCCCCAAAAAAAAAATCAATGAAACCAAAAGTTGTTTCTTCAAAAAAATAAGCAAGATAGGTGCCACTAGCCAGGCTCACAAAGAAAAAAAAACAAGAGAAAGCACAAATAAAAAGAATCATAAATGAAAGAGGAGAAATCACAACAGCTCCAGCAGAAATCAAAAGAATAATCAGAGAATACTATGAACAACTTGAACAACTATATGCAAACGAGTTAGACAATTTAGCAGAAATGGACAAATTCCTATAACTTTACAACCACCCAAAGCTAGATGAAGAACTAGAACAACTAAACAGGCCAATTACAGGCAAGGAAACTGAAGAAGTAATCAAAACCCTCCTCCCAAATAAAAGCCCAGGGCCAGATGGATTTACAAATGAATTTTACCAAACATTCAGAAAAGAACTAGTGCCTATTCACACAGACTCATACAAAAAATTAAAAAAGGAAAACTACTACATACTTTCTACAAAGTCAACATCACACTAATATCAAAACCTAACAAAGAAAAACTTCGGACCAATCTCCCTAATGAACAGTGATGTAAAAATCCTTAGCAAAATCTTAGCGAACAGAATCCAACAATGCATTAAAAAAACAATACACCATGACCAAATGGGCTTTATCCCAGGAGCACAAGGATGGTTCAACATCACAAAATCAATTAATGTAATCCATCACATCAACTGACAGAAAAATGAAAACCATATAATCATATCAGTAGGTGTGGAGAAGGTATTCAACAAAGTACAACATCCATTTATGTTTAGGGCCCTCAAAATCCTCAGAATAGAAGGTACATACCTCAACATGATAAAAGCCATATATGATTAAACCCACAGCCAATATTATCCTCAATGGAGAAAAGCTGAAAGCCTTTCCTTTGAGATCAGGAACAAGACAAGGGTGTCCACTATTGCCACTGCTCTTCAACATAACACTGGAAGTTCTAGCCAGAGCAGTAAGACAGGAAAAAGGCATACAAGGAATCCAAATAG